ATATATATATATATATATATAAAATGACTTTTTAGAAGAGAATTTTGGTCAAGATGACAGGATAGAATTCATGTAGAGAACTTTGCTCTTTGCTCAAATGAAAAGAAATTAGTGAGCAAATATCACTTTACATCAGTGGTAATCAAATTGGTGGCTAACTGTGAATTACAAAAAAAAATTTATCTGTTCTCTTTGAGATACGATAAGTCATAGCTGATGTTTAGCTTAGGGTGGTTGAGTTGTAGTAGCGCCAATAGTCAAAGCATAGTTCAGTAACAGTCCACATACTTGTTGAGAAATTCAACATTTCCAAACTGCTAATTCAGGAGTAGCTCTAAAGGATCATCAAGTCTTTTAAATTTAATTCTCAACTGAAAATGATTTAGTTACCAAACAGGACCTCATAGTGTAAAGAAGAATAAATGGGAAGATGGGGAAGCTCACAGCTTTGCTAAGGAAGAGGGTGGAAGTGAATACATAAGAATAAGGATTTTTTATTTTCCGTTCTTTCTCCAGGCCCTTCTTCAGATGACTTTCACATTCTTCACCCCGCCCTTTCACAGGCATTAGCTGTTCTCTCTCGTAGCCCTGTGACCCTGGAGTGTGTGGTAAGTGGGATCCCAGCTTCTCATGTGCGCTGGCTGAAGGACGGTCAGGACGCTGTGCCGGGAAGCAAGTGGAGAAGGTTGTATTCGCATCTTGCCACGGACAGCATTGATCCGGAGGACTCTGGCAACTACTCCTGTGTGGTGGGAAACAAGTCTGGAGACACCAAACACGTGACTTACGTGGTGAATGTACTTGGTAAGATGTTACTTGTTAAGTGTTTTTTCAAGTCAGGCTATTTTTCTGGTCTAACTGCTGTTTGAGTGGAAGATCTATTTGTGAACCATAAATGGAATAGAGACTACCTAGAAATAGCTACCCCAGTACCAAAATGAGCTTCATTTCTCTAAAGGACTGCTGAGTTGGGCAGTGTTTCTGGGTGGCACAGAGCGTTTCACCTGGGATGTTCTTGGGAACCTCACCCCCAACCTGGTTACACAATACAGTAAGTCCCCTACATACGAACCTTCAAGTTGCAAACTTTCAAAGATGCGAACGTGCGTTCGCATGTCTAATCACGTAAGTTAGTTCACGTGTCTGGTGTACATTGTCACGTGTGTGCGTCCTCTACAAGTGGCTGTGCTTTTGTGTACTGTACAGTACTGTATAGAGTACAGTAGTACAGTATCTTTATTTCAAGCCCAGGATGTCCTGAAGCAAGTGTAAAAGCGGCGGTGGTGTAGCTGGTTCTATACTGTATAGCCGATTGTTAGTAGGGTTCCTAAGCTAACTTTGTTGGGCTTATGAGCAAATTGAACTTACAGACGCACTCTCAGAGTGGAACTGGTTCATATGTAGGGGACTTTTTTACAGAGCTGGTTCTTCCTTCTCGATGATGTGGAGGAAAGAGACTGGAATTCAACAGGATGGACGATTCTGGGCTGTATCAGTGTGTAGTGTCCGGTAATCGTAACTAAGACAGAGTAGTGACTAGAAAATGTCATCTCAAAAAGAAATCATTTCATTTTATTTTCCCTTTTGGAATGCTTTCACTATAGCTGGCTCATAAAATTTGTGTGATTTTCACCCATATTTCTATATATACTATTTATCTCAAAGCTATTCCTTTCTTCCAGCTACCTACCTCACTGTAATGTGTAGCAGCAAAAATGTTCTCCTTTATCAAAACAGATTTTCATGAAAACTGGAAAAAAGTTTTCATAGTAAATATAGTTTTTGTAAAGCTTCTACACCTGTTTATGTGCAACAGTGGCCTGACATAGGTTACACTGGAATTAATATAAGTGTATGGCAAGTGGGCTTTAAAATTTAATGCTAATTAGGACTAGATTCATATGCATAATCATTTAATTTGGGCATATGTTACAAATGCCGATACATGATGTACTCTGTCTAGGTAAAAAGTGACTTGATGGATACTAAAGGAAAATTTTTGCCCAGAATACATGTAACCTCAAAGCAGAATTGAGCATAAAAAGAATTTAACTTCCAAATAAGCATTCTTCTGTTTTGGCTTTTGCGTAGTGTGAAATCCAGGGAAATGATTACTTTATTTCAAACAGATCACCTGGAACAAACGCTCAGAGAAGCCAAAGATTAGAAACTCTGCATGTATGTATGTGTGTGTGCATTTGTTGGGTTGGCGGAGGGTGGTTAAGTGGGAGGAGAGATCTATAAAAAGAGGCTATAATGTTTTAGTAACATATGGTTTATCCTATTGGAGGAAAGTAAATACATTTCTAATATTTTCTTGATGACCATGGTGGATGGGAGAATGTGAGGAAATAATACAATTCGGTTTCAACTAGTTATTGAGGAGAGTTTGTATGACTCATGTGATAACTTAAAAAGTACATCTTGAGGGCTAGACTTTAATTTATATTTTTTATTTATTTTATTTTTTATTAATTTTTTTACTGGAGTATAGTTGATTTACAATATTGTGTTAGCTTCTGCTGTACAGCAAAGTGAATCAATTATACATACACATGTAATCCACTCTTTTTTAGATTCTATTCCCATATAGGTCATTATGGAGTATTGAGTAGAGTTCCCTGTGCTAGACAGTAGGTTCTCATTAGTTCTTATTTGTTTTATTTTTAGAACATGCTTCCATTTCTAAAGGACTGCAGGATCAGACAGTGTCTCTGGGTGCCACGGTACAATTCACGTGTGAAGTTCATGGGAACCCAACCCCCAACCGTACCTGGTTTCACAACGCACGGCCCATTCGTCGTTCCCCACGACATCTAACTGTGGGAAATGGATTGAAAATCAGGGGTGTTACCATGGAAGATTCTGGGCTGTATCAGTGTGTAGCAGATAATGGGATTGGATTTACGCAGTCTACTGGGAGACTGGAAATTGAAAACGGTAGGCTTTTAGGTCATGTAATCATAGGAGATTTTACTTTGCAGATGGGGTTTTGTTCTGGTTAAAAATTAAATCATTTTTTTAAAAAAAAACGAAATAATCCTATCACCATAACAGAGCAGAGTTCATTTTCCATGTTCCTTTCTAGTTGCAGGCAGGCATTTCCATGAAGAAGCAAACTTATTTAATCACGCTCATTTAAAACAATTTTTTATAATATTTTTTCAGCAGGTACTACGTAGTTTTGAAAAGGCATAATTTTGAAAAGCACATGGTAAAAGTCTCACTCATGTTCCCCAGCCAGCCAGATTTCTCTTCAGAACTAACTAGTTTTATCATTTTCTTGAATATCCTTGTATGCATGTATATAATCAATTACATATAACATGTGAGCTTGTGTGCATTTAATAACAATGTCTTTTTTTTTTTAACATAAATGGTGGTAGCATTCATATAAATTACCTTGAAGTTTTCCTTAAAAATTTTCCCTTGAATTTGACCTTAAAAATTACCTTGAACTTTTCACTTCACACATATCGTGGACATCTTCTCATATTGTACATTAAAGAGTATTTTCATTTCTTTTAAAAAATGGCTGCTTAGTCTTCCATTGTAGAGTTGTGATGATTTGACTGGTACCTCATTGATGGCTGTTTCTAATCCTTCACTATTACAAGAAGTCTACAATGGATGTCCTTCTACATAGATTATTTTGCACATGTGTGAATATCTCTAACATAAATTCCTAGAAATGAACTTGCTGAATAAAAGCATGTATGTCTTGGTAATTTTGATAGATATCATTGCTATCCAAAATAGTTACTAGTTTACACTCCCACTAGCAGTGTTTCCACATATCCTCACCAAGGTGTGGTGAGGTTGTCAAAATTTCTGTTTAATCTTTGCCAATCTGATAGGTTTAAAAAAAAGTACCTTTTGATCTATATATTTTTTATTATTATGAATGAAGTTGGGCATCTCATCATGTGTTTATGAGCCATTTGAATTTGCTTTCCTGTGTATTGACTGTTCATTGTCTTTTGCCCATTTTAAATTAGGTTGTTGGTCTTTTTTCTTATTTATAGGAGTTCTTTATATATTAGGGAAATTAATCTTTTGTCTGAGAGTTATAAATATTTCAGATTTCAAAGAATCAGGATGATAGAGACCAATTCTCTGAACCTGGTGCAATTAATTTAGATGTTAATAACAAAAAATAATTTTTAAATGGCATGTATTTGGAAACTTAGAATTATAGTTCTCAATAGCTGGGTCAAAAAATCATAATGGAAATTTAAAATTCTTTCAATGATAATGAGTGTCAAATTGTGTGGGATATAGGAAAAAGGAACATAGAATTTATAGCCTTAAATGCTTGTAAAAGAAAGCTAGTAAAACTGAAAATTAGTGAACTAAGTAAAATAAGAGAATAGATTTAAAGAAAACAGAAGAAAGGAGATAATAAAGATGTGGGCAGAAATCAGTTAAATAGAAAATGAAGATAAAATAGGATCAGTAAAGATAAAGTTTAACTAAGGAGTTATCCCAGTAATCAATCAGAAAATTTAAAGTATTATTCATCCTATTTAATGGATAAAGGAGAAAAACAATATGATTATCTCCATAGAAGCAAAAAACCATCTGACATAATTCAGTATCCATGATAGACACTCTTAGGAAAACAGAAATAGAAGGAACTTTCTTAACTTGATAAAGAGTATCTAACAGAAACTCACAGGAAACATGACTTTTAATGGTGAAATGTTTAAGCATTCCCTTTAAAATCTCTTTTAGTTGTCATCATAGCGGAGATTCTCGTTAGTACAGAATGACAAGAAAAAGAAATGACAGATGTGAGGACAAGAGAGAAGGAAAACTCAGTCGTTATTCATTCACAGCTGCTATGGTTGTCAATATAGAGAAACCTCAATAGTTCGTTGGCAAATTGTTAGAAATAATAAAAGCTTTTAGCAAGGTGGCTGGATAAAGACCAATAAACAAGAATGTTGCCTTTCTATGTACGAGTGTATTAGCCAGGTTTCTCTAGAGAAACAAAACACAAGAGGATCTATAATATACACGTAGGAGGAGATTTATTATAGAAACTGGCTCACACAGTTATGGAGAACAAGTCTGCCATCTACATACTGGAGAAGGAGGGAAGCCAATGATGCAGTTGAGCTGTGGGAGGAGGAGTGATGGTATAAGTCTCAACCTAAGTCCAAAAGCCAGAGGTCCAGGAGCACTGATGTCCAGTGTCCTAGGGCAGAAGAAGGGTGGCTTAGCTCCTAGAGAGAATTCGCCCTTCCTCTGCATTTTTGTTCTACTGAGGCCCTCAGCGGATTGCATGGTGCCCACCCACATTGGGAGGGCCATCTGCTATACCCGGTTTACCAATTCAGATGCTAATTTCTTCTGGAAACACGCTCACAAACACAGCTAGTTATCTGGGCATCCCTTAGCCCAGTCAAGTTGACACAGAAAATTAACCATTACAATTAGCAGCAGACAGAAGAAGTAATTTAAAAGACACTCTAAAAGAAGAACAAGAAAGTGGGGGCCTTGCTTTACCAGATATTAGAACATACACAAAAATCTATAGTAATTAAGACAGTGTTGTATTATTGGTGCAGGAACAGACAAATAGACTCTTGGAACAAGACAGACAGAGACCACCAACAAGGATTTGCACTAAGGATTTGACTTAGGTGGCATGGCAGATCACCAAGGGGAGGATATCCATTTCAAGATTTGATGTAGGATAATTGGTTATCAAAATGGAGAAGAAATTAAATCTCTAACTCACATTGTACACAAAGACAAATTTCCAGTGGATTAAAGACCTATATATGAAAGGCAAAATGGCAAAGTTTTTGAGGAAAATATAGAAGAATATCTATATGGTCTGGGTAAAACTTTTCAACAAGACATTTTAGGCTAGTTTTTAAGAAAAGATTGGTATGACTACATTAAAATTAAAGCATCCTTATTTTTTAAAGATACCATTAAAAATGAGAAGCAAAGCAATAAACTGAGAGAAGATACTAGTAACATACGTAACTACTAGCAAAAGAGCAGTATCTAGTACTTACAAAGAATTCAGAACCATTACAAAAAGGATAAAGGATCCAATAGAAAAATGGACAAAATGCACTTGACAGAGGAGGAAAAATGAATGGCAGATAAATATGTGAAAAGATAGTCAACCTCATTAGTACTGAGGGAAATGCAGGTTACGACCCATGAAAGCATTTTACACTTCTTAGATTAGTAAAAATTCAGAAATCTGATCATTGTTGATAGACTTCGTCAAACACAGGAAGTAGGACTGGAAAAGGAGAAAGATGTGCTGGAGAAAATGTCATTTGTAATCGATATTCCATTGTGAGATCACTTAAAAATACCCCCCACCCTGCCAAAATACCTGGGACCAGAAGGAAAGAGTTGGTGCCACTTGTTTAGAAACAAAAATTTGTTCGTGTATTTGGTCAGAAATATGTTTGTCAACTGTAATTCAGAACAGGTTTTTCTCCCAGGATTTTTGTGATCAGCTTTTTGCACCCTGGAATTGACTGTCTTTTGGAAGGGCTATTATTTAGTTTTATACTTCTTTACACCTTTTTCATGTTAAAGTCTGAGGTTTTGGCTTCACGTGTTCTGTATTTACAGTGGTCAGATGCGCTGAGGATGCAAACTGGAAAACTCTCTATGGAGTCCTTTATATACATTCCTTTCTTTCTGAAGGACAGGCAACCTATGTGGGAAATGCCTAGGAGCCCACACGATGAAAAATTCTACTTTCTATTGACTGCTTTACTTGGTGAAAGTTGAGAAGCGAACTAACAAGGAAGGAGATATCTTTGTTCTAATCATGACTATTATCATTACTACTTGCTAACGACATTGCAAACACTGTTACTTCAGTGAATGCACATGTTCACCACACTGTTCTGCATGTAAAACACTGTTTAGAAACATACATATAAAAGATGTTTCTAAGACAGCTACTTGCGCACGACACAACATTTACGTAATAGGATGAAATTATTTTGCACTGTAGATACTATAATGTTCTTAATTTATGCGAATTACTTTTTTTTTTAACAGACAGTGGACTCAAGCCTGTTATAATTACAGCACCAGCAAGTGCAGAGGTGGACTCTGGAGGCTCCGTGACTTTCTCCTGCAATGCCACCGGGGTGCCGGTTCCAGCCATTCGTTGGTACGACAGGCATGGATTGATAACCAGTCATTTGTCTCAAGTTCTTAGATCTAAATCCCGAAAACCACACTTATCAAGACCTGGAGGTTCTGACCTGGAGCCTGTGTACTTCATCATGTCCCAGGCTGGCTCAAGCTCTCTATATATTCAGGCTGTTACTCGGGAACACGCTGGGAAATATACCTGCGAAGCTGCAAACGCACACGGCACCACACAGTCGGAAGCTGTCCTCACTGTTGGTGAGTTGTCATTAGTATCTTTTCCCAGGCGAATGGTTTCCTTTGGTAGTAGGGGACAAAGTGATTTGAAGTAGGTTTTAATGAGTCTAGCAACCTCTAAATATATATGTATTTACCAACAGCAGTGAAATGTAGAATTGCATATTTTGGTATTTGGCCTTATGCGAACCAGATGAACTTTGGTCTCCACTTCTGGTGGGTTTGTTAAGCTTGTAGTTGTCCTATAGGACACTTTCATTTGGGAGCAAGCCCAAGGTATGACCTCTTTGGGGCATTAATACTTTTGGTTTTCTAAGCTGAAAATATCGTTGCAGATATTTTCAGGTGGGCCCTTAGTAAGGATAGTACTCAGTCTAAAGAGTTGGCTTTTATTGGGAATGTTGTCATGCGTACTGTCAAACAACACCCATCTGTATATTTGCCTCAACCTTATTCAAAGTTATTGTTCTAATAGGGTGTATAATATAATATTCTTTTTTTTTTTTTTTTTTTTTTTTTTTTTTTTTTTTTTTTTTTTTTTTTTTTTTTTTTTTTTTTTTTTGTGGTACGCGGGCCTCTCACTATTGTGGCCTCTCCTGTTGCGGAGCATAGGCTCCGGATGTGCAGGCCCAGCAGCCATGGCTCAGGGGCCCAGCCGCTCTGCGGCATGCGGGAACCTCCCGGACCAGAGCACGAACCCGTGTCCCCTTCATCGGCAGGTGGACTCTCAACCACTGTGCCACCAGGAAAGCCCTAATATTCTTTATATTTTACTGATTTGGGGTGATGATGACTTAATTTGGAGTACTGCTATATAGAATATCAATATTATTCAAATTAATTCAAATTTGACTTAATCCACATTCAAATCTTATATCAGTGGGCATTGGTGAGGGTGCCCTACTCATAGGGCTGGTGTGAGGATTCAAGGAGTCTGTACCTGTAAAGTGCTTAGAATGATGTCTGGAAGTAGAATGCCTTCAATAAATACTATGTATTAAGTTACAGTTATTACTATCTAATTATTATTAAATTATAATGATCCCTTCTGGGAGTGTTTAGGGAAGAATAAATAGTTACTGATACTAGTAGACCTTAATAATCCTTAAATAAAGAAGGTATTTAAGTGTTGCATAAATTTATACACACATATGGATGTGTATATGTATGTGTACGTGTGTGTGTTTATATATCTGTTCTGCTATGCAAAAATAGGAGTGGCTCTGCTCAATATTGTTAGCCGTAAGACAGCTGTCATGCAGGCACTGCTTGGGTATCATTTGGCTGAAATGATTGTCTTTTAAATTTTTTATTTTTTAAAAATTATTTATTTACTTGGCTGTGTTGGGTCTTAGTTGCGGCATGTGGGATCTTTCGTTGTGGCATGCGGGCTCTTCTTTGCCGCATGTAGGCTGCTCTCTATTTGTGGTGTGCAGGCTCCAGAATGTGTGGGCTCAGCAGGTGCGGCGCGCAGGCTCAGGTGCCCCACGCCATGTGGGATCTTAGTTCCCCAAACAGGGATCGAACCTGCGTCCCCTGCATTGGAGGGCAGATTCTTAACCACTGGACCCCCAGGGAAGTCCCTGAAGTGATTATTTTATGGAAATAAAGGGTAAAGGGAGCCATAGACATCACAGTCATAGCTGATGGAACTAGGTAAGTATCTAGTTGTCTAACTGCCTCACTTTATTTATTTTTTTTTAAATTAAATTTATTTATTTATTTGGCTGTGTTGGGTCTTCGTTTCTGTGCGAGGGCTTTCTCTAGTTGTGGCAAGCGGGGGCCACTCTTCATTGCGGTGCGCGGGCTTCTCACTGTCACAGCCTCTCTTGTTGCGGGGCACAGGCTCCAGACGCGCAGGCTCAGTAGTTGCGGCTCATGGGCCTAGTTGCTCCCCGGCATGTGGGATCTTCCCCTTCCCAGGGCTCGAACCCGTGTCCCCTGCATTGGCAGGCAGATTCTCAAACACTGCACCACCAGGGAAGCCCCTCACTTTAAATATGAGAGATCTGAAGCCCTTAGAAGATATATAACTTGTTTAGGTTCGATCTTTCTAGATCTTTAAGATCCCCCTCACTCCCAGGATTTTATGTCTTGATAAATACCATTTTTTATGTATAGTAACCCCATGAGCTACATCCTACCTGAGTGGTCCTTTGTTGCTTCTTTTACATGCTCTATAGTAATCACTGAAGTCTAGCTGAGTCTGTTAAAGCTCAGAACAGCACATAACAACCCACTTCTTCCCATGGGAATCTGAGCTTATTATTAAATTCTAGCATGCTGGCAGCCTTTATTTGTTATGAAGGGGGGCGCTGTAAGCAAGATGACTGTCTCCCCCACCTGTTTTTCTTTCCAGAGACCTTGGGTTTTTGAGGTCCTGGATGTACAAATATTTGTAGAGTGAGTTGTAACTTTTCAAAACTATAATGGGAGTTGGCCTGGGGTCCTAAATAGTTTAGGGTGGGGTTGCTGGTTTGAGTGGTCACAGTGGGAACAACTTTGGCAGATCTGGTTCCGTTCCCTGTTGATCTGGTTTCAACTCAGAGTCATTAATTCATAGACATTACCATAGTTATAGTACTTAGAAAGCCAGAGTTTTATCAATCTGTTTTCCAATTCAAAAAACATTCTACCTTAAAAAATGCTAGATGTCTCTCCTGACCGTTTCACAGAGTTATTTTGAAGATAAACTGAGGTCACGTATGTGAAGAACCTTTGGAAAGTACTGTGAAGGCCTTATGAATTGTATCTAGTATCTGTGAGCGCTCAAATTCTGTTATCGGGAATAGTAGAAGAAAATTAATTGAATCCCCTTTTCAATAAAAGCTATGGAAAAGTCTCATTGCAGCCTGAACACAAGTGGAATTTTGATACTCCTGCAGTAGACACAGGCTGTAGCATAACATTTTTTCTCATGCCTCTGTATAAACTGAGGCGTGTGGTATTCAAACTCCCCTACAGCCAAATACCACTTCCCAGTGGTGACCTGCCCAGAGGATCCATGAAACACCAATGATAAAAAGGTCCTTCTTCACTGCCCTAAGCCACAGCTAATTGCCTCTACTTGCTAGAGTCCATCTCTTCGTTAACAGGCTCTCCACCACACCCTTCACATCCAGCCCACATTCTGACTCACTAGATAAACACGACTGTTCCAGGAGCAATATTTGGAAGCTGTCTCAGTGAACTTAATTAGTTTTCTTCTATATTATTTTCCCACTAGCTTCTTGTTTTCTTTGATGGAGGATGCTTCTGGGACACCTTTTCTCTCTTTTAAACAAACAGAGAACCAGAGAACCGACCTTCCACTGTTAGTCCTGTTTTTTGGTCGGTTCTCTATGAAACTGCAGTAGTTCTCCTAATACACTCCCACCTTTCACCGGGAATCCGACTTCATTGTGGAAAAGAAACTCTGCCATTGTTTCCTCAGCTCCCTTCCTCCACAAAAGTAGGAGACTTTTCATTGCCATTATTAATAGTGCTTTAGAGGAACTAGGCTGTCAACCCTCGGGTTTTATTGTGCTGGCAGTTTATTTGTTTTCATAAATTGCTCTCTCCTCACCATACGTGCTCACCCACGTCCCCTCCCTCTCCCCCTCTCCCTCTCTCCCTCCCCCCCCATCACCCCTCTCCACAGCTAGCTTGGGCATCTATCTGTATGTGGCAGCACTATAGTAGGGGTGCCAGGCCTTCTTAAAGCTTAAGCCTGGAAGAGGGCAGCCTCTCTTGGGCCTGGCGTCTCGGTTAAAACGAGTCACAGCGCAGCTGGGATTCAGCGTGGGAGGGGACTGCTCAAGGGTGTGAATATTGAGATATCTTTGGAGACTAGCTACCCAGTAGGTAATAGCCTGACTCTTGACCTTTTCTTTACTATTTATTTTACTTTGTTCCCAAGGGAATGCATTACTCATTGTGTTTCATTTACCAGCTAGGGTTAAAGTTGTTCTCCAACTTAAAATCTTCTGAGGTTACACTAGCAAATTGCTGTTGTAAAAGAGGGAATGCTGGTGTCGAGCAAGGAAGAATGGCAGCCTTTCAGCTACTAAACTCCTGCATCATAGAACTGATTTTTCAGACAGTTAATTTGCTCCTTCATGAATAAGAGATGGCTACTGGAGATTAGATGTTTCCATGAATCATAAATTGAAATGTTACCTACTTTAACTTCTAGGGCTCAAACTGTGCTGACAGTGTGTTAGATCCCTGTATGAGAGACCCTGAAATAATGAATTTCTTCTGTCTCCTCTTTTTCTTTCTCCCTTTCTCCGCAGTTCCTTTCGAAACAAAAGCAAAAGCAGAAATAGTCACACCTTCTGATCCCACTCAGAATGAGAAAAATGATGGTTCAGAAACTGGACTATTGAGCTCATTTCCATTGAAGGAACATTCCAGTGCTACAGAATCATCATCAGAGAGAAATGCTAGTGGTACCTCTGTCCCCGATGCCCCCATCATTCTGAGCCCCCCACAGACGCACACACCAGATACGTACAACCTGGTCTGGAGGGCGGGGAAGGATGGCGGGCTGCCCATCAATGCCTATTTTCTGAAGTATCGAAAGGTAATGTCTTCTCATTGATCATCTTTCCCTTCCCACACCTCCCCATCCTGTGTATAACACATGCTTATTATCTTTCACATTTGTGGAGCGGCAGGAAACAGGAATGTCCCAGAATGATGAGTTTGGGAGAGAAACGCCAGCAACCATGCTGGATTTACCAGTCTTATAAAAGCAGTAAGAATAAAGTACAAATAATTTCCCCTCAAATTGGGATTCTAAGAACCCAGTAGCTTCTAGACATTCTTAATCAAATATTTTAACCCCTTGGGTATAAAATTCTATAACCCAGTTTTCAAAAAGTAATTCCTTCCCTCTCTGAGATGGCAGAATGCAGTTTATTTAGTAAAAAAGCAGCTTCTTATTAGAAACAACTGTTTGAACAAAGTTGTCCCTTATAATCTCTGACAAATGTTTTCATTTCAAGTTCTCTTCTTAATTGTATTAAAACCTTACATTGTTTGGTCATTTATTATGGTGAACCTTGATTGTCTCAGTTGATTTTTCAGATGATGTTTTTCATCCACAGGCTTCTATTAAAGCAAAATGAAAAACAATCTCCCCTCTTTGTTTAATGAGACTGTAAACGAAATGGGAGGAGATGCACTCATATTTAAAATAATTTTCTATGTTCAAGACATTTTGGTATCCATCATTTAACAGTAATATTTTTTCTTTAGGTATTTTTTTATTGAATGATAGTTGGTTTACAGTGTTGTGTTAATTACTGCTGTACAGCAAAGTGACTCAGTTATACCTATAGATACATTCTTTTTTTCATATGCTTTTCCATTGCGGCTTATCACAGGATATTGGATATAGTTCCCTGTGCTATGCAGTAGGACCTTGTTGTTTATCCATCCTGTATATAAAAGCTTACATCTGCTAACCCCAGCCTCCCACTCCATCCCTCCCCTTATAGTAATATTTTTAATATCTGGAAAAATTAACATGGTGATATTTGAGAGTTTATTCACTGTTTGTAACCTGATGATTCTAGATGTGGATAGTTTCACTGGTATTCTTATCCACGTGAAACTTCCCGTGTAATGTTGGCTCTTGGTTCCATTAATCAAGACCCAATGGATTGGATCTCTTTCCTCGAGCTCACATTGAACAGTGTCAAGACATGAAGCAAGACTGTTGGAAATATATAATGCATAATTATATAATTTATACACATATAGACATGCATAATATATATTTTGATTTATCATGTATCATGCATAATATATATTATCATTAATACATGTTATTGTATGCTTATTTAATTCTCCCATTAGCCTAGTAAGAAAGGAGCATTGTTTCCATTACAAGAAAAGGAAACAAACTGGGTGATCAAATAACTTGCTTGAGGCCCTAAGTTAGTGGCAGCTAACGGAGCAGGAATCTTTTCACAGTGAGAATCCCTAAGTTCTTGCTATAGGGCTCCTTCTGTTTCTTAATGTAGAGAGGTGTTGCATCTCTTTCACTTTTGATAGTGTATTACTTCCCAAAATTCATCTGGAATTGAATTATTTCTAGCTTTTATCCAGTTGGAATGGAAGATTCTTCTGCCCTGTGTCTCGTTTTTTTAAAAAAAAAAAAAAAGCCTTATTTTCCCTTGAGTAGCTGGAAGATGGTGTTGGCGTGGTGGGAAGATGGCACACAGTTCGAGTCCCAGGAAGTGAAAATGAGCTCCATTTAACGGAACTGGAGCCATCGAGTCTCTACGAAGTTTTGATGGTGGCAAGGAGTGCAGCAGGTGAAGGACAGCCTGCCATGCTCACCTTCCGAACCAGCAAAGGTGAATATAATCTTCCTTAAGTGGAAGGAGTTGGCTCTCTTGATGTCACTTTAATAATAAGTGTCTTTTGGGGTAGTAGAGATTCTTGTTTGTAGGGTTACTAAATAAACCTTTTGTAGTAACTTTCGAGGCCACATTTGGATGGTTGTATTCTTCTATTCCATCCAGTGTTTCACAGATATTTTTGAGGGCTTGTTATAGGTAAGACAGTAGGGTAGGTGATGCAGGGAAAATGAAGGTGATCAAGACAAGATCCATCCTAATGGAGCTTCTACTTTGTTAAGAAAGGTAACATATACACACAAATACCAACTCAAGGCAAAATTTCAGTTCAGCTAATATTTACTGAATGGCTTCTCTGTGCCAGGCAATAAACAAAATAGACAGTACTCCTTTGCCCTCGTGGAGCTTCCATTCTAGTTGGGAGAGATACGTTATAAGAACATTAGTAGGTGGTGAGTGTTAACCAGAGAAATAAATTAAGGGATGGGTATAGTATAGGAAGTGTATGAGATAGCAGTTGTCACAGTTTGAGCAGGTGGCCAGAGAACTCCTCAATGAGTAGTTGACAGCAGAGCAAAACTTAAAGGAGGTGTGTGAAAACCATGTGGGTATTTAGGGCAAGAACATCCCAGTAGGGAGCATAGCAAGTGCAAAGGCCCTGGAGTGGGTGTACTTGGTGTGCCCTGGGAACACTGAGGGGCCATAGTGATGGGGGTAAAGTACATGGGGAGGGGAGAACGCTCAGGGAGATGGCAGAGTGGCCAAAGCACTAAGTACGTTGTCCACCCTGCAAGGACACTGACTTTGAACCTGAGTGAGCCAGAAGCTTTGGAGGGTTTTGAGCAGAGTTGTGACACGATCTGTTGTGTGTTTCAATGGGACATACTGGCTGTAGGGTAAGGATAGACTGGAGGAGGGCAAGGGAATAGGGATCTGACAAAGGACTAGGAAAGACTTACAGAGAAGATGCCAGAGGATAGACTTTCTGTGGGGCAGCTTGTGAGGGTAGCTTGATTGAAAAGATGCCATTGCAGGTTGGCCATAAATGAACAAAAAGACTTCAGTGAGCAGAGATGGGAATTGGGGAGAGGAGTATTCTTAGGGTGGCACAGTATTAAAAAGGAGTTCTGATGATTGAGAAGAAATTGTCTATTGGCTTTTGAAAAAGATCCTTTTGGACTTCCCTGCTGGTGCAGTGGTTAAGAATCCACCTGCCAATGCAGGGGACACAGGTTCAAGCCCTGGTCCGAGAAGATCCCACATGCCGCGGAGCAACTAAGCCCGTGCGCCACAACTCCTGAGCCCGTGTGCCACAACTACTGAAGCCCGTGCACCTAGAGCCTGTGCTGCACGACAAGAGAAGCCACTACAATGAGAAGCCCACACACCACAACAAAGAGTAGCCCCCGCTCGCCGCAACTAGAGAAAGCCCGCGCCCAGCAACAAAGACCAGTGGAGCCAAAAAGAAATTAATTAATTAATTAAAACGAAAGAAAAGAAAAAGAAATAGACCCTTTCATCTAATTAGTGAGTCTGCCCTGAAAAATAATGAGTATTTCATATTTGAAATGTATTTTGAGTTAACTTCCGTAATTAGTCCTTAGTTGTTTATAAAGTCTGACCTACAAATACTGAATAGTAAGCATGTATTTCAGTTTTAAAACAATCACCCAATTTCACTTTTTGCCTCTTGAAATTTTAAAGCTTAACATGACAGCTTTCTCGTGAAAAAGCTTAACAGAAGCTCTTAAATAATGAATTTATGTGTCAGAATTAAGAAATATGTACAGTAAAAAGAAAAATGAGTGAATAGTTTGAAAACCTTCACTCTAGTCATTTGGCTTTTTCACTTGTGTCAATTTTTCTATGTGTAAATTAAAGCTAGCCTGGTGAAGAAAGACACATTTTAGTTATAGGTACTACAAAAAGCCAAAATAATTGTTAAAGTTAATTCCTCATATTAGCTAAGTAATTACATTGTAGGTTTTAAATTTAGACACTGTAACGATAAGTTTATATATTTATATCTATATGCCAGGTGAGTTTCATAGTAGCTTTTCTTATTTATACATAGATGCTTATATTATATTATATTATATTACTATTATATCTTTCTAGAGAAAACAGCATCTTCCAAAAGCACTCAGGCCTCCTCTCCACCTGTCGGCATCCCTAAGCGCCCTGTTGTTTCAGAGGCTGCAGACAACTTTGGAGTGATACTCACAGATCCTTCCAGGCACAGTGGAGGTAAAGAGAAGACCCTTCATTTATTCATTTTGCTTGTTTTCAGACGTAACTGACCTGTTTCCAGTTATTTGGGGGTGGAGTAGCACAGGGTGTTTTGTTTACTATTCAGATTATATACTACCATACAGCTCTTTTAAGTTCTATTTCAACCATTTTTTAAATGTCCTATATTCAGATCATGGTAACCCAGTACCATGGTTTGTATTTAAACTCAAATTCAAAATGTTATGGTACTAAGTTTTTATAACTCACAAAAGGGACTTTTCTGTCTCCTCTCTGGCAAGGAAACCAAATTTACATTTGAACTCTGAACATCTGACTTTTTTTAAAAAAATGATTTGTCAAAACGTATGATGGTACCTAGAGTAAGATTTAGTTTTTTTTATTGAATGGACTACATGGCATACTCAGCATTATTGCTATATCTTACGGTTTTTAGATGCCGTAGCAGTAGAATTTTCAAAAGACTTCTTTTTAGTACTTAATCACACATGAATTCTACTGTTACAATATAATGTGCTTTTCGTGATCTAGGGAAGGCTTAACATTTTATTGCTGAGCTCTAAGAATTTTCAAGCTTCTCTTCCCTATTTTTATAGTCTTCCATGCATTGGTTTCAGACAAAAGCAAGCCACAACATTTGAACACCCCTCTGGAGCACCTCTGCATCTTCAATATCATGAGCTGCTTTTTCTTGGGTCCTTTTACCTCTGAGGAACCTTTCCGCTTCCTTAAGCAGATATAGGAGTGTCAACTTCATAGGTATAAAACTGACATCGGAAGAACAAAAACCTTATGACTTAACACATTGTACTAAATGCTGGAGCAGCAGAAATAAAATAAATCTTGCCCTTGGAGAAGTTTACAGTATAGTGGATGATACAGACAATTAAACCAATACCAATATAGTAGGGAAGACAGACAAATTAACCCATAACAGTGATTGTGATTCCACCCTTGTTCTTGTGAGGTCAGAAGAGAAATATCTAAATCACTCACTTGCTATGAAGGAGGCCCAGTGGTGATGAGAGGCGTCCTGAGCTCAGCCTCAAAGATAAGAATGTTACCGCTGCATGAAGAAATAGGAGACGGAGTTCTAGGCAGAGACCCCTCCTTGTGCCGAGACAGATGAATGACATGTTCTATTTCATTTAGAGGTTCAGAGATTTTATTGAGTGTGACTGGTTGCTGTGTGAAGCGATGCTACAGTGGGGAGGTGGGCGGGTGCTGTATACGATGTACTTAAAAATCTAGTCTTTCCCCAGAAGCTATAAAGAAGCCTGAAGGATTTTAGAGACGGGACAGGAGGAGTGGCAACAGGTGAGGCTTAGCAATAAAGATAGTGGCAGTGTGAGTGGAGAAGGAGGACACAGGTGAGAGATAAAGGGAGTTGAATCTACACTGAATGAGAGGAAGGAATATGGTGCCTTGGGCTTGGGCAACTTGGACCATTTACCAAGATACGTAATAAGAAGCTTTAGGTGAAGATTGTGGATTCTGTTCTGGAAATCATGAGTTTGGAGTTATCCAAGCAGAGATAACCATAAAGAAGTGATTTATTTAATCTTCACAACACCCCTGTGAGGAAGGTAGCATAACTATTTTACAAATCAGGGAACTGAGACTCTCAAGGAGGTTATGCAGCTTGCCTAAGGTCATCCAGAAAGCTCATCATCCTGCACCATCCAGACAGTGGTGGAACTGCTATTCACAGTCAGATATTTGAACGCCAAGAGCAGTATTCTTCCTTCTATCTCCTAACAGTCACACACTGTTTCTTTTGGATATTGATGATATTCTCCTCTAACAGTCACACACTGTTTCTTTTAGATATTGATGATATTCTCCTCAGTAGAGATTTTCCCCTAATAACTTTCTTTTTCTATTTGGTCTGTGGTATTCTTTGATGAGTTTTAACCTCACGTGAATCAACATAGGAAGTTGTTTGGTTATCTGGTATTAAACAAAAGAGATTCACTAACACTTCTATTCATTCTGTTTCCATTGCTTTCTAACTTGAAAGGAATACAGTAAGTATCATGCCAAGTTGCCTGCTTTGAATATCTTCCTCTTTTTATCCATTAAGTAGTTTATTTTTAAAATGCCACAGTTTTCTCCATGCAGGTACCATATGCAACATTATTTTGTTCTTGTGTATTTGTAGTCAGATTGAAGAGGTGTTGAGACAGAGGGGTGTTGCTTGAGGCCAGGCCCAGGCTGGACAGAGACAGGGCTCCCTGAGTAATTCACCAGAGTAATGTAACCATGGCCCAGAGTTGGTCCTCCTTGTTTTAGCTCTAGAAACTTGATTGTTAGCATGCCAAAGGATAGTTGGTCTCTTGAGAACCAACTCACTCTTAAAAAATTCACAGGTGATTAATGTAAACTGAAATGGGCAGTTTAATGTAACTGTCATACAGATCAGATTGTTTCTATCTGCATCCTTTCCTTTAGGAACCAAATGGGAAGCCCGTTATAACCACAAGATTGCTTGGTCAGCAAGAAGTGTTAGGTACACGGTTTAAATGACTGATGAACTCACTGCTGAGGTTTCCACCTGCCACAGAATCGAAACCGTCCCATCTGGGGACTAGGACATCCCTGCCCCTTGGCACTGCTAACTGAAAACTGCCAGACATTAGCTCTCTGACCCCCTTTTTCTACAAGGTCATGTGCATGATCACGTGGATTATCAGTTTCCTGATAGCACTTGTCTCTTTACTTAACTGTGCATCCTGCCTTCCTGCTTTCTCTCCTCCTATTTTTATTAGTATTGATATTATTGGCTAAGTTTTATCCCTATTTACTGCTTGCAGTCTGTTTTTTGGAGTAGCATTCCTACAAAAGTAGTAGCTACATTACTGATTATTGATAGGCTACAATAGTAATAGCTAATATAATAATCTGTAGATCGTTTGCTGAATATGTTTTCTGTAGCTTGGATGGGTAAAGAAAAACATTTAAGTAACACATCATTTTGAAAATTTACTGTAAATTTTAACCACAGTCAGACTTGAAGCACCAAGTAATAATTACGTATTCACTGTTTTAGCCAGGAATCCAAGATAGCATGGTCATAATGATCATACTCATTAACTTTCAGTGTTTCAAAGCTAATTATCCAATTTATAAATTTTGGGGCTTCCCTGGTGGCGCAGTGAGAGAGGCCCGCGTGCCGCAAAAAAAAAAAAAAAAATTATAAATTTTTTCACTCTTCCTCCCTTCCGTGCTGTATTTGGCGATTTCATTGCCCATTAGCTTTTAACAGAGGACAGGAGTGTAGTCATAATACTGTTAACTCTGCAAAGAAGTTTGGTGAAGAGCCGTTAAGACAATGATGTTTGGGATTTATCCCTTGCAGTCCATTTGAGTCATTCTTGTCTCTGCTGCCTCGGGTTATTGAAATGAATGTTTCCATTTCCAGTCCCAGAGGCACCTGATCGGCCCACTATCTCCACTGCATCAGAGACGTCCGTCTATGTCACTTGGATTCCTCGGGCAAATGGGGGGTCTCCAATCACTGCCTTCAAGGTCGAATATAAACGGATGCGGACTAGCGATTGGCTGGTGGCAGCTGAAGACATTCCTCCTTCCAAACTTTCTGTGGAAGTGCGTAGTTTAGAGCCAGGTAGTGATATGCAAACATTTTCTTTTAAACCATCAGTGCTGACTTTAGATGCAAATTCTTAATAATCTCATATTCTTCTAATTGTTAAAGTAATATGAGCTTATTGTATAAAATTTTGAAAATAAAATATAAAAAGAGAATAGTCACCTGAAACCCACCCATCCAGAGATAACCATTGTTTATATTTTGTTGTATTTCTTTCTAGTCTTTTTTCCTTTCTAATACAAACCAGGATCGTGCCATAAATATTATCTTGTGACCCCTTTCCCCTATATTATATCATATGCATTTTCCGATATCATTAACAATTCTTCAGAAACTCAATTTTTAATAACTGTGTATCTACCAAGTAAGTACATCATGATTTTCTTAACCATTCATCATTTCTGGGCTTTAGATTATTTCTAACTGCAAATAAATAGAAACAGTGTTGTGGTGACATCTTTGTGTGTGTGTGTGTGTGTGTGTGTGTCTGTGTGTGTGTCTGTTTTGCTGTGAATGAATATTTTAAGAGAAAAATTGCTTATTTGACTAAAATCGATCTGATGATGCATCTCAGCATGGTTAGACCCATTGCTTTATTTTATGAAGACGAGACAACACTAACATCTCTTTGTTCTGTAAGTTTTGTTTCAGCAGCAGGGGACTTCCCCAGCCCCCCCACAGTGTATGAAAGAAATTAAACTGTAAAAGAGAAAAGCAGTAATCACAAATCAACTTTCTTTACTTTTATTTGTTTGGGTTTCATGACCATTTTTGTTGATGGACTTTTAAATGTACTTTAGTAGCAAATACCTGTGTTTGTCTAAACAGGTAACATGAGGAGCCCAGGAACATGTAGGTACAGTTGGGAGAAGATGGCAGTTTTAAATATGGGCAAAGCTAAGGAACATGTTACAGACAGAAAAGACTGTCTTCAGATGCCCAGGGGTTATTTTTGAGCTTTTAGGAAACTTGCTTTAGGAGTCTAATTTATTCTTTAGATTCAGATTTTCAGAAACTCACAATCCTTGGAGGTTTTTTTAAGTTCTTAATATCTAATCCAAACAGATACCTTCTGTTGTAGCTTAAATCTGCTCCCCTTATCCTATTATTAGCGGGAGCAGAGTGACATCTGCTATCACCCACACAGTGCCTCTTCACAAACGTATTCGCCGTATTAAACTTCGCTTCAGTTGTTCCTTTCAAAGGGAAAAGAACCTAGTTTTGAGCACAGATACACCAGCTAGTCCTGTATTTGATGGGTATGACTTTAGAACAGGATGTTGAAAGAGAAACGTGCTCTTTCCCATTTTCTCCCTGCCCCGTTCCATGACGGACATCATCCGTCTCTCCCAGTGACTCCCAATAAGGTCTTGTAATCTTGAACACGCTCAGTGAACACATGCAATACCAGTGAATAAGAGCTGGCAACTGCGTTGAAATCTATTCATCTAGGCTTTCGAGGATGTTGTTGTTATTGTAGAGAGATACTTAAGCACAATTGTCGTATTTTGAATATTGTCCTTTCAGATGTCTTATTATAGCTTTTAAAAAATTATGGTTTTCTTTCCCCCCCTCAAAAGGTTCAACATACAAATTTAGGGTCATTGCTGTCAACCATTATGGTGAGAGTTTTCGGAGTTCGGCCTCTCGTCCTTATCAGGTGGCTGGGTTCCCCAATCGTTTTTCTAACCGTCCGATAACTGGACCTCACATCGCATACACAGAAGCTGTCAGTGATACTCAGATCATGCTCAAGTGGACGGTAAGTAAAACATCTTCTCTAATGAGAAGAGTTTCTGATTTGGCCATGTTAATTTAATATCTTGTGACACAATACTATGAACGGCAAATTTTTGAACTTTCAAGTAAGGGGAAATTGAAGGGCACAGATATTTGTGTCAGAGCACATGTTATAAGAGGGGCAGGTTTAAAAATAAAATGATTGTCTCCTCAGCTCTCATCCAAGTGTTAACTTAATCGCCATTTCATGTTTTATTCCTTTTGAACCCAATGTACTTTTATGTCTTTGAAGCTGGTGAGATATATTGCTTTATTTTTGTTTAGCCCTGCAGTAAGCCAAGATGCTCTTAATACCTTTGAATGTCTTTAAATTAAACTTAAAATGGCCATCAAGGATGTTTGCAAAATGAAGCTAAAAAAATATTGCCACACAGATAAATAAATCTTAATGGATGTGAAAGTTACATTTATTTTTGTCTTTGACAAATCTTTGCTTCTCTTTTCTAGTACATTCCATCAAGTAACAATAACACTCCCATTCAAGGATTTTATATCTATTACCGGCCAACAGATAGTGACAATGACAGTGATTACAAGAGGGATATTGTAGAAGGTAAGTTACAAGGACAAGTGGGAGTCCTAATAAAGGAGCTTTGGAGGGAGAGGGTTTATAAATATTATGAAAAACATTACCCCAGGTTAAGATAGAGTAAAAAAAAATGAAATGGTATATGTACTATTACTTTGAATTTTTCCCAAAGAAAGATAATTTTTCCAATTTAGTGCAGTGGACCCTTGAAGAATGGGGGGGGTTAATCCTCGTATAACTTACAGTCGGCCCTCCGTATCCAGGGTTCCTCCACATCTGCAGGTTCGACCCACCACAGGCTATGTAGTAATGTAGCACTTACTACCGAGTATCTGTGTAAAAGTGGACCCACATTGTTCAAGGGTCAACTGTATATATACCATCTTACATTTGCTTAAAGAAACAGTCAGTTACAAAAGAGTGGGGGAGATATGATTTGTCAGTAGTTCATCTGAAAAAAATTTTTCTGTTTTGTTTAAATGAATAGTGGCCTGAATATAAAAATCAATTACAACTTCTAGCTATATTTTAAAAAAGAGTGTCTCAGGCAACAGTTCCATTGAAGTCTGTCCTAGAAAGATCCCATCTTGAGTGTGTTACCCATTTTTAGAGATGCTGAGAAGTTGAATATATGTAGAGAAGAAAACAGTTGAGAGCACAAAGCGTGTTGAAACTGCCTTTTGACTACATTTAAAATATAATCCAGGGACTTCCCTGGCGGTCCAGTGGTTAGGACTCCACACTTGCACTGCCAAGGGCCCAGGTTCAGCCCCTGGTTGGGGAATCTACAAGCTGCACTGAACAACCAAAAATAAAATTAATTAACTAATTAATTTAAAAAAAGAAAAAGAAAATGTAATCCGGAACTTTGCCTGTGGTCTGAGGGCCGCACGTGGTCTGGCTGGCGCCTGCCTCACCTCCACTATGTGTCATGCACTCTCCCTTTCTCACCGTGTCTTCCGTCACGCGTGGGCCTTCTTTCGTCTCCTCGTATTCACCAAGATCTTTCTTGCCTCGGGACCTTGGCACACGGCAGTTCCAGCTACCTCCCCCAAGGCTTCATCTCGGACCTCCACTTCTGTCTGTTGTGTGCTTGAATGTTCCTTGCTCAGAGAACCCCCTCCCATTGACAGGAGATGCCCTTGTGATTTCTAACCATGCACTTATGTTTACTTCATGCAGTTTATCCTAGTTTAGTTGTGTGTGTACGGAATTATTTGCTTAAAGTTTGTCTCCCCCACTAAATGTTAACCTCCTTGTGGGCAAAGGGCCTTCTTTCCCACAGCTGTGTCCCAAGTCCTACAGTGATGAGATGTTTGGTGTTTATTGAATGAAGGAATGAATGAATGCTTGGAGTCCAAAAAGAACAGTGGAGTGTCTGGGAATGATCAGATTGGAAAAAAGACAAGGAACCAGCAACAGGACAGCTGTCTCCAAGTATTTAAGGACTAGGATGTGTAAGAGGAACTCAACCTGTTGGGGTGACAGAGGGGGGCTACAAGGAAATTTTGTGAAGGAGAACCCTCTAATACTGCATTTTTAGCATGGTTCTCTCACAAAATAATAAGCTCCCTAATTTGGGAGGTGTTCAGTAGAAGCTGGGTGCCTGTTTCTCAGTGATATCTTGGAAGGGATTCTTAGTATGAGAGGAAAGCTCCTTCCAATGTCTTTTTTTCACTCCAAGATTCTTCTGTTTTGAAATATTAATCTCCTAATGGATTGTGTCATAAAATTGTCCCAGGCTGAGGTTTCTTTCCTCTGAATTCTTGACATCAAATACTGCCACATAGTTTTTTGTTACAAGTAGTCTTATAATAAATTACTTTTAATGTGCACCATCATGTTTCTTGAAATATTGCAGCATTCATTTTACTGTTTATCCAATGGAATTACTTTTGCAACATGATGAAAAATTTATTGTCTAAGTTTTAATACCCAGCATATTTTTTGAATGAAAGAGTGATTGTTTCTCTTTTCTTAATCTGGAAAAGTAGGAAAGAAATGAGTCCCCAAATCTGCTTTAGACGTTAAGAATTGGGGAAATGTGGAAAGATCATTGTTAGTGGTAAAAGGATTCTGTGAAGTTGAGATAGTAGCTGCCTTGAGGGAGCAGTGGCAGGAGGAAGCATGATGGGGATTGGGGAGCCAGGACCCCTCCCTCTCTTCACCTGGGAGCTGGTCCCATGGCTGTGTTCTGCTCCTGAACATTCAGCTGTACAATAATGGGTACTTTCCCATATGCATATTTTACTTCATAAAAAAGCTGTTTAAAAAACGAAATGGAAAGAATTGTTAGTGACTGATCTACACTTTAGTCCTGGCTCGGTCTTCATTTTAGTTTATCTGGGTTAGGCGAGTGGGGCTCTCAGATTTTTATTTTTAAAATCTTTTGAGAGAGGCTACACTTTTGTTAGAAAATCGTTCTAAACAAGGCAAATGTCAGTAAAATGAACATCCCTCTCTGACTCCATCTGTATCACTCTCTTGCCCACCCTTCTGGGTTTTACTCTAGAAATAATCCGCTGATAAAGAGTTTCTAAACTATATTCTCTAGTTAAATCTTTGAACTTTTGCAGACTTGAGTGATGTGACTGTTGAGTGTGGAACTGGGAAATTGCTCTAAAGAAGACTTTGTTTTCACTGCAAGCGTCTGTACATGTGAGCTTTGCCTTGTGGTTCACAGAGAACTTGTTTATGAACGTAATAGATGGAGCAGTTAGATGTTTAAGTGGGCTTCACTGCGCTGTGTAATTTGCTCCTTCCTTGTTTTCAAGTTTATGAACTTGAAATTCTTTTTGTGGCAGTTGGAAACTATTGGCTTGTTTTCCCAAACCGAGGAGCAGAAGTATTTATTCTTTGTACCTAAAGTTTTCTTTAAAGTTTTAGATTACTTATGTATATTGACTCAAAATTGTTTAAGCTTTGAAACACAATTACATTGTTAAAGAATACAGTAAGAGAAGAGCAATTATATTAAGTTATCCTGTCTTCTGAATTAGGTTCCACATTTAGGTAAACTAAACATTTCCAACGTACCATGTTTTCGTGATGAATATTTTAATCTTGTAAATTGAGTTGAGTTCCAGGTAAGTCAGAGTATCAGTCATCCTGATCTTTAAGCCTGTGCTTTGGTTTTTTACCCTTTCTAAACTATTCTTGGAGAAAAATCTGCTTGCTAAGCAAAGGATACGCTGGTTGGTTGATTTTAAACCTAATAATGCACTTAGGTGTCTTATTCATCAGTGAGCCGTAAAACTTTCTCTTTGCCGATATTTCGAGTAATTGGAATAATTACCATAACACGGGATGTTAATCTAACAAAATATGTATTACTTTATTCTCTCTTATTAGAAACATATCAGAATTTTAGTTTAATTCCATTTCTTTACTAGTGCTACGAAAGGAAAACTTCAAATCTAGTGTAATAATTATTCAAGCGAATGGTGATAGGTGAGTGGAAGTCTGGGAAAGACCTAAAGATATAGAAAAAAGTTGAAGTCTTTTAGAAAAGTTTTTGGAATTTAAAAATAGATCTGTTCCTGTCTCAAGTAGATTTTGAGTCAAGTTTCTTTTAGGGTCCTCTTTACACTTATAAATGGGGCATAGAATTCCTCACTTCTTGAGCTTTTCATAGTCCCTTGATCCTAAAACAAGCAGATTCTCTTCCTTATAAAATATGGGGCTTATAAAATATGAACGAGGGGCTTTGTGTTGGTGTTCTGGAAGGGGGTCAGGGTGCTTCCGGGTCAAGGTGTTTTTGTCTGCGTTGACTTAGAAAGGATCCCAGAGCTATAGGTCCTGTCAGCCAAGCAGATATGACTTGTGTGTGTGGATTGGTTTTGTTTTGTTTTCCTTCCCCTTTAGTCGACTCTTAAATCAGTTGGTGGTATAGTTGAGTTTCTAAGAAACAGTGGAAACAGGTTGAAGAGGTAATTTCTAAGAAGGATTAAAAGCGCTTGAAGGGTTCATTGAATCTGGCACAAGTACCCCTGTTTATTAAAGTTTGTCACAGGTTCACAGAAGTAAAAACGGAGAGTCATTTATACTGGAGTGTTCAGTTTAGAAGTGTTTCTAAATGAAATGCTGGCCGCGCACCATGGATAACAGAATCATTCTGTTAGAGATGCTTGTGTGGTTTGGAGACCCTGGTGCAGAAGGAAAGAAATGGTGGGAGCGGTAGCCAAGAGTTTCCCATAGTAGACTTTGCTTTCTGACTGTTCTCGAATTCAGGCATTCATTTATATTTTGGATCATGTTGTGTCTATTACAGTGGAATTGAGAGTTTCACTGAGGCCTGTCTTGTAAGTGGTCACTTGTTCTGGGTAAGGCACCGTTTTCTGACCTCATACGTGGCGTTGCTTTCTGGTTAGGTGGACAGAGTGATTGACTTGCTGGGCTGAAGTAGGGGATCAAAGGACTGGAGGTGGTTTTTTGTTCTGTTTTGTTTTGTTTTACTTATGCATAAAATTAACACGTATTTTATGAAGGACTTACTACTAATTACTTGTAATGAATCAAAGTCTGCCCACACACAGGTAGAGCTTTAATTCCATTTCTCTCTTCTCTTTACCATTTTTTTCATGCCATGTAATAGAAATGCTATCTATCTGTTGTGCATTGCTAAAATATTTATATGAAATACACTTTTATTGCAGAAACTGACTATATGGTGTTGGCTGCTGCTCCAACCTCATTTCAAAATTACTAAGTGATTTTATTGACAATGTTGTTTAGGTTGTGGGTTGTAAAGCTTATCTTTTATTTTTCCTTCCTAGGTTCAAAGCAGTGGCACATGATAGGCCACCTGCAGCCAGAAACCTCCTATGATATTAAAATGCAATGCTTCAATGAAGGAGGAGAGAGCGAGTTTAGTAACGTGATGATCTGTGAGACGAAAGGTAGGGGAGGGGTCAGAATTAATGCTTTCTCCCTGGACAGAACTAGAATTCTGAACTCTGGATTATTCCTCCTGACTATCGATATATTTACTAAAGAAACTTTGGACCCTTTTTTCGGTGTATCCATTTAGACTGTCCCAACAGTCTAGCCTTCTGTCGGCTAGAGAACTTGCCTTAAGAGTAGTTTACATAAGTGTTCATTGTATTCATTAACTTCTGGGTGACTCTGAGTAAGTCATTTCTTTTTTTTTCCTCCATGAAGGAACAGAAATATTTGCTGACTAATTATCTGAGACTGCTGTGAGAATTAGAATCCTTAAAAAAAAGTATAAGGGTGTTTAAGGAAAAGCATTACGTACGTTTAAAGTGGTTTCTTGAATGACAGATACGTATAACACTACCTACTCGTTCAGTGAAGCGTAGTAAAGTTCAGAATTAGTCGATAATTCTAAGGTGAAATTCTCAGCTCTGCCTGCATACATAGATTAGCTGTAAAATACTACCATCGTTGAAAACAGAAGATACCACACTTGAATAATAGAAATAGCCAAAGTAGAAACAGGCTTAGAAAGATTGAATTATAAAGCTAAGACTCGGTTTCCTTGTTTAATTCTGAATCATGTGTCTTCCTGCTGCAAAACCCACATATTAAATTCACATTTAAACATATATACACACAGACCTGTAGACTTACCTTGAATTTCACTTGTTTAGCATATATTTGAGTACCTTTTTGTACTGAACACTGTGATATGTTCATGAGCATTTCTTACTTGCCTCCCGAGTGCTGTGAAACCCGGAGCAAAATTACATATAAATGAAATTTCTCATCTCTGTTCCCAAGACATTTAAGAGTCTAGCCAGGCGGAACATAAAACACAGACAATAATGTGCTAACTGTGCTGTTTTTAAGTATTATTAATTGACTTTGCTGGGGAATCAAAGGTTCTACCTACAGACTTTCAGATCAGTGAAAAACAAAAAACTTTAAAATGTTAACTGTTCATACTGAATGAGTTTCTAAAATGTGTTACACAGTCCCAGCCTAAGTAGAACATTTGATTCATGATTTCTCCTTTTAAAGAAATGACTCAGAGTTCTTGCTGTGAACAGCAATTGTCTTATCTTTAGTAATTCAGTAAATATTGGAGGCCAGCCTCTTTCCCCCACCCTTAAAGATCATAGACTGTCACGACTTTTCTTCAGTTCTCTGCTTTCTCTTTATGTTTTTCACCTCACATTGCTCGTGTCATGCTCCTGCTGTCTCTTCTTATTCATGCTAATGGGACCGTGTCATTCACCATCCACTGCAAAAGTTTCTGACTTCAGTGAGAGGTTGGCAACCGGTCCTCAAGCTTGGTGGAGTTTTGAATACATTAAGAGTAAATAAAGAGTGAATAAGCCTGACGGACTTCCCTATGAGTAATCATGGCATTTCATGTGCGATCTGTAACACCCATTTTTGTCTCAGAAACTTGTTTGTTGTCTTTGGAATTGTCAGGGACCTTAGAATTGTATAATCCAACATACCACCCAAAGTAGAAATTTCCTATAGAGACTCTCTGCCAGGTATTCTTCCAGCTTTCAGTGATGGAGAGCTCTTTCCTTGGAAAGGCAGCCTCTCGTTGACTGATTTCCAGCCCTATTCTGCATGGTTGAAGTTGCTGGAAAATAGAAGCCCGGTAGAATGTTTGTTAAAGTAGATATTTTTAATGACCACTCTGCTCCTGTAGGTTATTAGGAACCATAACAGGAGGTATAGTAACTAATAATACTGACAAAATGGATTGAACACTGCCGCGCGCCAGGCTCCATGCTGAGAGCTTTACTCTTTGTGACAACCTATGATGGGGCTGTTATTATCATCTCCATTTTCCACCTGCAGAAACTGGTTCATGGAGCTCAAAGTCTTACAGCTAAGGATAAGTGATGGAACAGGTTAAAAACCTGGGCAGTCCGGTTCTAAAGATCAGGCCATCAACCACTATGCTCTACTGCTTTTCTATGACATTTAAAGCATCAAGAGCATGTTATTTGGGGACAGAGAAAATGGGGTTTGTGTCCCACCTGTTATTAGCTTTTGTTGTTGCCATTATCCAGAGTACCAGTGGATTAGGTCAAAGCACTGCGTTTATGTGGACTCCAACATTTTTTGGTTTGGGAAGTTTAATATTATGTGTGAGGTTTTTGGAATTGTATATAATTGTCCTAGTAGTCCGGAATCATGTCTTCTAATATTATTCACATGCGAGGGGCATAAAATATCTAATTGCGAGTCTCATTCAGCTCAAAGCATATCAGATCGAAAGGAGTTTTTGTCCCATCTGTAAGTTGAAATCGTTTTATGTCAACTCTTTGGGAGTCTTCTGCAAGTACAATTGAGCAATAATCATATAGCAGCTTGGGTTAGACCAAGTGCATCTGTGTCTCTGATCTTATAATTTCTTTAGAATTTGTGACCTAAAACCTTGACGTTAGATTTTTAAACTTTTGAGCCCTCTTTGTGACTCATCGGTGGTCAGATCATCTCAGTACCAAGCGTAAACAGACTGGCTTGGATTCCTAACCAGACCTCCTTCGGAGAGTAAACCATTTCATAGAGAGTCTGTCTTCACTCTGACATCATGTTTTCCTGTATATTTCAACTAGTGAAACGGGTTCCTGGAGCTTCTGAGTACCCTGTCAAAGACCTGAGCACCCCTCCAAATTCTTCGGGGAGTGGAGGAAATGCTGGGCCCGCAAGCAGTCCCGCCAGAAGCAGTGACATGCTGTATCTGATCGTCGGCTGCGTTCTGGGCGTAATGGTGCTCATCCTCATGGCTTTCATTGCCATGTGCCTGTGGAAGAACCGCCAGCAGAATCCCATACAGAGTAAGTCATCCATCAGTGTCTCCTTCTCTTTTTTCTAAAGATAAGTAGAAAAAGATTGTCAGAATGAATACTGATTTCTAACACGTTCACGTATGAGTGTCATGGTATAAAACACATTCGATACTCTTCATTCAGCGGAGGTGACTTTAAAACAGTTCTAGCTGTAAGCCAAAGTAAGTGGAGCATCAAATTAAATTGCCCAGGAGAAATAAATAGCAAAGCCCAAACTAAGCAGGTCTCTATGTAAATAGCTGACTTAGTGCTGGGAAACTCTGGCTCTGTCGGACCACCAAAGAGGATGAGGACTTGAAGCATGAGCTTTGGAATTGCTGCAGGAGCCCCTCCATACGGGTCCAAATCTTGTCAGCAAGGAATGGAAAAGGCATGATGGAAAGGAGGGTAGTGAAGACTTTTCTAAGTTACTGTTCCGGGATGACACAGATGAAGGTACCACAGTCCTGATTCGGTACTTAATGTACTAAAACCTCTGCAGAGTGGTGTCCCCACCCCCAAATGTGTCCAGTAGTAGGAGTGTCCGAGCTGTCAGTGATGGTGCGTTAGAACCCTCTTCCCATTTCTTTCCCCATTTTTCTTCCCCTCCCTACCGTTTCTCTTCCCTCAGCTAGCATAAAAGAGCACAGTCAGATCAATCAGAGTCTTTAGTCTCTGCTGGGAGGAAGTATTTTGGTTTCCTCTTTGGCCCCAGGAGAAAGAGATGAGAAAAGAGCAGAGGAAGACCCCAGCCGTGACAGGCACTCGAGCAGCTCTTAGCCGGTTCCTGCCCATGGTCCCTTTTTAGTGAACAGCTCGGGGTGGGGTGGGGCGGGGGAGGGGGGGTAGAAAGTGATGTATTTTTATTGCCTTGGTGCCTTCCAGGAGATAGGCAGGGAGAGAAGTGATGCTGGTACCAGGCTGAAAGAGCTGGCCATCCCTTGATTGGGTCTTTTTCTAAATGGTTTTCATGTCATTGACTTTGAGTGTGTGAGAGTGCGCTGAACCATTAAAAGAAGAGTATTGATCTGGTTGTCTGAGCGAGATTAATCTGGCTAAAGTCATTTTCCTTTGTGACTTGATAACATGTTGAAAGATGGGAATTTATGATGGTAATGTTCATTCCGTCATTCATTCAGAAGATACTTGTCGGCTCTCTCCTGCGTGCTCTGCACTGTGGTGGACAGTGCAGGTATAATGCCCTCTCCTTATAGTTTAGTGGAGGAGAGAAGCAGGTATACTGATAATAACACACCTGTGATAATAACACACCTGTCATAGGAAAAGGAACACCTAGTCCAGTCTTGGCGCCTCCAATACCTGTGAAGAATCAATCGAAACTCTGACAACAAATCCTGTGCAGTTTAGATAATATACTTTCTAAAGGACATTTCACTTTTTCTAAATATATCTGGTAGGTGTGCCTCTGGGAATCAGATATTTGAGGCAGCTGTTGAAATGCTTTTAATATAAGGAAAGGGAATAATTAGCCTTTTGCCGTTGGTGCCTCAAAACTTCCAACTTGGCTGTAATAACCAAAGAACTATATGAATAGTGAATGTTTCCCCAACCCCATCCTTTTACTTAAAAGTGGTGTTTATTGCTTTTTGAAATATCCTACCTAAAGTTATCCTGTTGTACAATTTCTTTCAGCACTTGGAAGCACAGGGGAATTTAAACACCTTTTTGTAGTGTTGCCGGTACTTTGATAGTTTCAGCTTGCATAGTTTATTAATTCTCTTTTGAGTAATTTCTCTCTGGTTAATTTCTCCTCCCATTAAAGAGTCATAACTAATTTACAGTTCCTGGCTGACTCCACACTGTAAAGGAACTAACAGCAATAATTTTATTAAAGCATATCTCACAGGGAGGCTTTAAGCGAACACTTTTTTAGAGTATTTTATTTTAGTATAGTTATAGTTTTTTAAGGGTTTAATTAATAAAACTTCCCAAGCAAGAAGAATTGTCCTTTTCAGTATCTAACCTTTTCTTTTTGTTGTTCTCTCTCAACAGAATATGACCCACCAGGCTATCTCTACCAAGGGTCAGATGTTACTGGGCAGATGGTGGAATACACCACTCTGCCTGGCACAAGCCGAATAAACAGAAATGTTCGTGGAAGCTTCAGCAATGGCTGCTCCCATCTCCACCATAAGCTCCCCAGTGGAGTCAGCGGGAGCTTAAATGGAGGACTCTACTCTGGGCGCACGAACTCTCTAACCAGGACACGTGTGGATTTTGAACATCCTCGTCATCTAGTGAATGTAAGAGACCCAATTATAAATAAAAGCGCCCCTGTGCCCCACGGTGCCAGGATACAAGAACAGGGCCAGCACGCGTGGTCTTTCCCAATATAGAAACCTCACAGGTTCACTGGAGTGGACGTAGCTGAAAGCTCATATGCTTAGACGAGTCAGGCAGATCTTGAAACTGAGTGAAGCAAGTTGGGGATGGGACAGAAGCGGTGGAGGCATGGGAGAGTTGTGCACTGTCTTAAAGCAGCAGCCCCGGTTCAGTGCCCATTGTTTGTATGCAGAGCTGAGGGCCCCGTGTGGCCTGGTCTTCTGATTTTTCACGACATCCGTAAATCTGGGTGAAATCACCAGATTTTTTTACACGTTGGCAACTAATTCCAGTTTTAGAAAGCGTTGCGTGGGCCATGCACAGCATGTCTGCAGGCCGCCAGATTGTCACTTCTGACCCCCTGTGAGGTTTTTTTGATTTGTTTTGCCCCATGTGTGTTTCTGTGGTTGCCTGTTCTGTGTGTTTCTGTGCTTTATGTTTTACAATATTAGTATTCTCTAGCCACAAGGAGTGATAAACCTTTAAAACTACATTATTTCAGGGATAACCAGCTGATAGAGTTTAATTTTTGAAATGAGAGTAGAATGACTGACGTATTTTAGATTTGTGCTGGTGAAAGAGATTCTCTGCACTAGGCAGTTTGACTTATTACATTGTTTGGATATGCATCCACATTATTTTTCAATCAGATAGATAATATGTTAGTTCGTCAATTAGGCACTCATTTACGTTTTTGTCATTGTTCTGATTACAGATATATTTACCCATAACCCACAATGTGCTAAAGTTTGGAGAAGTTTAGAGATTTTTTTTTTATCTTCAACAGTAGTAAAGGTTTATTAAAATATTACCTTTGGAGAACAAAACTATAATATATATTTGTATCTTAAAGCTAGAAATCTAATGGCTTTCCTGTGACCTAGCTTTAGTATGTCATAGAAAAAATATTTAATTTGCTTTAGTGCATCTCATTACCAAACGAGAATAATGATTTCATTATTTTGTGTGGAAAGACATGGCTTATATTCAGACTTTCTAAACTTTTTTTGTCACCATTCCTAGTCCAAACTAGTAACATTGTCCAAGAAACTGAAGGAGAGAGCATGACGCTTTGAACAGCACATGCTGTTTCCATAAGAAGAAAAAATAACTCTGATGCTTGCTTTAGTATTTGAACACAGTACTTTGTGTTTTTTGAACAATGAGTTGCTATTTAAATAAGAGTTGCCCCATTAAGTGTACAATTTTAGAGGTTATCCTCTGTGATCTTAACTCATTCATTTTCTTACTATTCTCTTCTGGGAAGGTGGAAATAGGGACATACTTTATTTATTTATTTTATTATTATTATTATTTATTTATTTTTTTTTTTTTTGCGGTACGCGGGCCTCTCACTGCTGTGGCCTCTCCCGTTGCGGAGCACGGGCTCCGGACACGCAGGCTCAGCGGCCATGGCTCACGGGCCCAGCCGCTCCACGGCATGTGGGATCTTCCCCGGACCGGGGCACGAACCTGTGTCCCCTGCATAGGCAGGCAGACTCTCAACCACTGCGCCACCCAGGAAGCTGGGGACATATTTTAAATGCTGTTGATCATAAAAATGATTGAATTAACTGTAATCCGTTTAGTGATTCAAATAAATGCATCATCCTGTAGGTTGTTAACTTCATTTTTTTCGGAAGCTTTGGAGTTTATCCTCATGGACTGAATGTAGCATAGGTATATTCTTTCTCTCAAAGTTTTCTTAAAAATTCCTATTGCTAGTTGGCTCAGGAATGTTGAGAGAAATTTTCAGTCCTTTTGGTTTGCTTCGATTCTGGCTGTTGTTATGAGATGAATGGAAGTGGAAAGTGTTCTGGGGAAAAACGATTGCCTGAACTTCTCCTAACCTTGAAGGCCTGAGTTTGGGTGCAATGTAACAGCCTCCCTCACCCTTATCAAATTCAGTTCTGCTGTTTTGCTTTTGAAAGCAGAATTTTGACTCTGACCATAAGGCTGGTTCAAGCCCTAACTTGAGTTTTGAAGAGCTCTTGCCATCGTATATGTCAAGTGAACATTTTACAATGAGGTGTGTGTTAATCTGGGCATTTTTCTTAATTGCTAGGCAGTTTCCGCCAAAAGCAACAGCAAAATATTAATACTCCGCTCCAAGTCATCACTGGCTGAGAATCTGCTCCATCTGGAAAAATATAACATGTTTTAAGACTCATCTAGTCCAGTGAACAGACCTAATCGAAATAATTACAGGAAAATGAAGATGGGTTTATCTTGTGACATCATTCAAACAGATTTCCACCCTGTTTCTCCAACTGACATCCCATAAAATTTTTCCATGACTGCTAGGAAGGTAAAAATGAATAGGAGGTTATAACACATAGAATATTTTGGGCCCATTAGATTTGAAACACTGAAGGGAAGTGACTAAACTTCTCCCTTCATTTACTTGCCTCTTTCCAGTACAAACATACATGCAGAAAACATAGGAGTTAACTTTTTGGAGAACACTTTTAATATTGTGCAGCACTCATTTGTGAATACAAGTAAATAGTGATAAACATAACATGGCTCAGGGAGATGGTTAAAATATACCACATAGCCATTTACTGTTGGTGCGGCTTTTACATTTGAGATGATGTGGTTACGAGTCTATGGCACCTTCAGCACTCTTTCTTTTTCTCTTTTTCCCTGTACTTGCTTCCTGATAAGGGTGGTGGCCTGTACACGGCAGTACCTCAGACTGACCCGATGGAGTGCATTAGTTGTCGAAATTGTCGGAACAACAATAGGTATGTTGCTGTGTTTGCACAGGTGGTTGTAAATAGTTTTGTGGCTCCCTTTGTTATTCTCCCTTCAGCAAAGGAAGTTCTTACAATTTTACCTAAGTTATAAAATCTCAGAATGTGGAGTCTTAAGTTTAAGGCTGTTACTCAGTTTTTGCCCCAGTTTTACAATTTTTACCTTTCTGTACTTTGGTTTCTTTAGATATATTGACAATATTGATGACTCTTTCTCACTGAGATACTTTTAAGAGGTTTGATGTTTTTGAAATCTTTGAATTAGTGTCATTCTCTGCATACAGACTTTATCTTTTCTCACCTGTTCTATTTTCAGTGGAGTTCTTTTCTATGCTATGTGATATTTTCTACTCTATATTCTGGATGAGAGCATGTTTGAATGTTAGGGGAAAAACCCTGTGTGTATGGTAATGTTTTTTCATAGTAACATTACTGAAATTTTCATATCAGATTATCCAATTTTTTAAAAATTCTTAAACCCTTAAGATAATTAAGTAGCATAATCTTGATTTCTTTTAATTTCTGTTTTTTTTAAATTAAGAGTTATATGTACTCACAATACTTCAGACAAGATAAAAATAAGTAGAGTGAAATGTACATTTAAATTTTGACAGAATATTCAGAAAGCTTTCATGCTAGTTCTCTATGTATTAATCCCAAAGGATTATCAAATATTTTGTTGTACTGAAGTTGCATCTGTCAGAAATCTCAGTTCTTTCTCTTACATAATGATGGTGTTGGATTACATGGTCTCAAAAGTCCTTCCCAACTCTAAAGCTCTGCAACTTAAAAATCATATTATAGTTAGTACATAAAATACCTGGAGTATGGACTGGAGTTTGGTTAGTTCATTACTGAAATGGGATTTGACCCATATTTTCTAAAACGAATTATGAAGTTAACAGTTGCATCTGGGAGTTATCAAAACCAGAACTTGAAGAAGGAATCGGTCGACCATTGAATTAAAAGTACATTGTTTCATCATGTGTTTTGAGAGTTGCAGAGCAAACGCAATAAAGCTTTCTGGAGATTTTTTTTGTTTTTTAGTCATTTACTTAACCCATCTTAGGGTTTCTATATTAGCAAGAGCCATCTGCCTGTCTTGTGTACTAAGATTTGCTTGTTACACTTTAAAATTCTGTATGACCCTAGCTAAATTTTAAGATGCTCGTAACAGTGAAGCTGCAGTTTTGTCCTGAGCTTGTCAAAGGCTTTATCACAACTTGTTAGGAGCATGCTAAAGAACTGGTAAAGATGGTTTATACGCCTGGTAAGTAATCAGGTGGACTTAATTAAAACACATCCTTTGTGGTTCCTGTGGTCATCAGCAAATGTGATTCAACCCAGACGTTAGAATGATGGAATGAGCAGACCTCAGGTCTAAGAAGAAGTAAACATAGGCTTTGCCACTGCTTAAATCTATGATCTTGGGAAAGTTATGTAATCTCTCTGAGGCTATTCCTTATCTGAAAAATGGAGAATTGTCCTAGATAGTGTAAAATTGCTCCCAACATACTCTGATTATAGATTTTGGTAATTTGCTGCTCGTCATCTTTATAATGAGGTATCATATCCTAGTACCAAAAATACATCCCATTTCCTTAAAAGAATTTGAATGACTTTGCCATCTTGCATTCATGGCCATTTTTGTATGTGTGAGCGTGTGTGTATGTGGCATTTGGGGGGTTTATTATACATGTTTTTTTTTTCCTTGAAGACAGTGGACAATTATATTTCTATTGGTTTTCAAGTTAATGGCCTCTTGCATTTCACATATAGGGGTTTTATCTGGGAGCATAGGTGAATTCTCTGCGGCCTGAGAAAGCCAGCTTCTGTTTCTGCCTGCCATGCCTCCGAGGTTAGCCAAGTGGCTCATCTGGCTTCCAGGAGCGCTTATGTGGTTTTGACACGGATGAACATCAGTAAATACCTATCTTCAACTCTGCCAAATTGGAATCATTAAATCTAAAGCGTCTAAGCCATTTAACGTTGTAACTGAAAACAGGTATATCCCCTCTCAAGATCCCCAAGATGGCAAAATTTGTAATAAGCTTCTAATACTGAGAGGCAGGTGATATATCATGTGCTCCCCAAATATGCACAATTTTCATCAATTTACACTTTTAGAATGTCGACATTATCACTAAGACTAAATTTGCGTTTCCTAATGCCAACTGAAAAGAGTGTGTACACAAAAAGAGGTATAATTTCGGTTAAGACATATGAGGGCTATCCAGGGGATATTTTAGAGTTTTTCGCTCTTCAGTCAAAAGAAACATTTACACTAGCCACTGGAATAGGTTCTGAGGTGTTTCCAGGCAGAAGGAATCACAAGTCCTGGAAGGAGGAAGGATAATGCTTACATGAGGGTAAATAGTCTAGTTCAGTGGTTATCAAACTTCAGCACACACTAGAATTAACTTGGAGCACTTGTAAAAACACAAATTATGAGGCTCTACTTCTAGAGTTTGTGAGTCAGTAGGTCTCGGGTGGGGACGGAGAATTTGCCTTTCTGACGAGTCCCAGGGCTACTGGTGCTGCTGGTCCTGGGACCATGCTTTGAGAAACACTGACATAATTTAGCTGGAGAAATGCAAATAGAGGGAGCAGGATATAAAACTGGAAAACCAGTCTGAGTTTATATCATGGATGACCCTTACTGTCAGGGTTTACTAGTTTATTTAATCAACATTTATTGAGTGCCCACCATGTCCTAGGTACTGGCCCAAGCCCTCCCTCCAGAGAGCCAACAGTTAATAATAGTGACTCACAGCCAGAGCTTGAAGTATAGTGAGTAGAGTTTGAAGGAGCACACTGAATCTTGTAGTTTTATATTTAAGGAATAGAAAAAAATCTCTATTGTTTCTGTAATCTACAATACAGGAGGGATGTGAGATTTTTACATTAATCAAAAAGGGGGATATGGGTTAAGTGTTGAGAAACATGGGGCTTAGTGGCACAATGATTCTTTTGAAGATTTTTAAGAGAGGGAGCCATCTATGCAAGATGTGTATAATAAGCCGGTTAATGGTAGTAGGCAGTACGCTGGTAGGATTGGAGGGAGGAGGCCAGTGTGACTACATGTGTAATGAAAGCCTTAGCTTCACGCGAGGAATGGGGGTGGAAAGGAAGAGAAAAGTGAGATTCTAGAGCTGGAATCTTTAGGACTTGGCCATTGACTGATTGGGATCTGGGAAAAAATGGGAGGTTCAAATGAATAGAAAGTTTCAAACACGAATGACCTGGTAGTTGCCATGGTGACAGTCATAGAAATAAGAAACTTAATAAAATGATATATGGAGGAAAGTTGATGAATTTGGTTTGGGGCTTTTAGAGTTTCAACTGCCAGTTGGGTATCTAAGTCAAGGAGACACAGGAAAATGCTGGTCTTGGGTTCAGGGGGTAGATTGGGACAATGATCTCTATATTTCAGAGTCATTTGTATCAAAGTGATAGAATTTAAGAATAGGTGGGATCACCAATGGAGACAGTAACCATGGTAGTTTGATTATTTTTATATATTTAATTATTTAAGGTATTTGTTTGCTTAATTTCTTAAGGTTTTTTTTTTTAAGCTTTTTGATGTGGACCATTTTTAAAGTCTTTATTGAATTTGTTACAATATTGCTTCTGTTTTATTTTTTTTGGCCCCGAGGCATGTGGAATCTTAGCTCCCCGACCAGGGATCGAACCCACACCCCCGGCATTGGAAGGCAAAGTCTTAACCACTACACCACCAGAGAAGTCCCTGTTTCTTAAGTATTTAAAGTGATTAGACATCTTTTTTATAATCCTCTCTTTTATTATTTTTTGCTTATTGCCTTGATGTATCTTCAAAGAGATGAGGAAAGGGGTGTGAAAATCA